GGTCCGCCCCGGGTGCCACCTGGTAGGGGGTGCCTTGACCCTGGTCTTTGGGCTGTGTGAGCTGTGCCCCATGGCAGCTGGGGTGTCGCACAGCTCACGGAGACCAGAAAGATGAACTGGCCGCGCGGGAGGAGGGGGCGGAGCTACTGCCGTTTGGGGGCGGAGCCTAATCGCGAACGGGGTGGGGCTTAACACGGCCCTTAACTGCTGCACATGGAGGTGGAGCAAGTAGAAATCCCTGCACCTCCACCTCCAGCCAGGGAAGGACTTCAGGCCAGGGAATCCACTCCTCCAGCCCACACTGCCTGTAAGTATAAGAGTGTGTGTAACTGCCTGAAACTCTGTGTGTGTGTAACTGTCTGAAACTGTGTGTGTGTGTGTGTGTAACTGCCTGAAACTGTGTGTGTGTGTGTGTGTTTAACTGCCTGAAACTGTGTGTGTGTGTGTGTGTGTGTGTAACTGCCTGAAACTGTGTGTGTGTGTGTGTAACTGCCTGAAACTGTGTGTGTGTGTGTGTGTAACTGTCTGCCTGAAACTGTGTGTGTAACTGCCTGAAACTGTGTGTGTATGTGTGTAACTGTCTGCCTGAAACTGTGAGTGTGTGTGTGTGTTTGTGTAACTGCCTGAAACTGTGTGTGTTTGTGTGTGTGTAACTGTCTGCCTGAAACTGTTTGTGTGTGTGTAACTGTCTGCCTGAAACTGTTTGTGTGTTACATGTTTGCCTGAAACTGTGTGTGTGTGTGTGTGTAACTGTCTGCCTGTAACTGTGTGTATGTGCGTAACTGTCTACCTGTAACTGTGTGTGTATGTGTCTGTGACTGTGTGTGACTGTCTGTGACTGTGTGTGACAGTCTGCCTGTGACTGTGTGATGCTGCCTGTAACTGTGTGTTACTGTCTGCATGTAACTTTGTGCGTGGCTGCCTGTAACTGACTGTGTGTGTAACTGTATGTAACTGTGTGTGTTTGTGGCTGTAACTATGTGTATGACTGTCTGCCTGTGACTGTGTGTGTGACTGTATATGTGACTGTCTGCCTGTAACAGTGTGCGTGACTGTGTGTAACTGACTGTGTTTGTGTGTAACTCTCTACCTGTAACTGTGTGTATGACTGCCTGTGACTATATGTGTGACTGTCTGCATGTGACTGTGTGCGTGTGACTGCTTGTAACTGTGTGTGACTGTCTGCCTGTAACTGTGTGTGAGGGGGTGCAGGGATTTTGTACAGGGGGGCAGGGGTTTTAAAAAGTTTACAAATTTGTTCAATACATTTTTTTAAAAATGTAAAAAAATAACATTTTAAAAATGTAGTAGGTTTTTTTTTTTTGGAGAAGGGGGGGATGGAGTGGGGGTGCCACATGCCCTAGGTACGCCCCTATATATTTATATATATATATATATATATATATATATATATTTGTATGTGTGTCTGTGTATGTGTGTGTATGTATATATATATATATACATATTTATTTTGACTTCCATTCATACACCGATACACAGATTCATACATCTGACCAAACCCAAATATATAGCTATAGTAAAAGGGATGCCGTTCCGGTCAGAAGGGATTTTTGCCTTCCTTCTGGTCCGCAGACCAGCAAGCCACCCCGTCTAAAGCTGGCATGTCAGGCAAGTGCCTAATTCTTTGTACAGTAGTGTCGGCTTTATACACAAGCGTGCACAATTTCCCCACTTATATCCACTACTTTAGACATTTCTCCGTAAGTGTCAGTCTACACACAGCCGCTTCACATTGCGCTGTGTGCACAATGATCGGCAGAGCCATTGACTGCACATGTTCTCGGCTTATCAATCCGGAGCAAAGATCTTACCTACCTGGACATGCACATGTCGCACGAAAAAATTGTTATGGGCAACAGTGAAATGAGAATTCTGGATGCCCGACTGAAAAATCTTGGTACCATCCTTTTGCTACTATCATTTCTACAAATGTCTGCAGTTATGATATACTGTACTTATCATTTGCAATGTTGCAAAATGTTTCTGGTGATCAGAGACTCTGGGGAGTTTGAAGGGTATCAAACTTTGCCTTCATTGTTTATTTATGTGGCCCTGGTGTACCATATGCATTCATATGTGTACTGGAAAGATTGCAAGTAACAAAGAGCACATTGAATTTTGTTTACCTAGATATGGAACAGTTTTGCACTTAATTACACCCCTGCCTGCTGTAAAGGAGTTTTATTTTGTTTTCTAATGTACGCTGTTAGCTTGTCGGCATGCAGAGAGAATTATCTAACTTCTGCTCACATTGCAGACCAAAGCATGTGTGGCTCATGGGAGTTTAGCAAATGTATGAATATCTTTCCATGTGCATAAAAAAAAAACAGTAGTTGTAGAAATGTAAACAAAAACTTTCTTATCTTATCTGTAAAGGTCAACATGTTCTCATCTGATGCTTTTGCTGTAATTTAATTTTTCAGAAGCGGACTCGGTCAAGATCTTTAAATTCAGGAGAAGTGGACGCAATGTTGTATCACAAGAAGGTGTGTGTCGTTTTATCTGTCTGCCTATACATATTAATAGTTGGTAGAAATTGATTTTGAGATTGAGTTTTTATTTTCAACATATATTATATATCGCCATAAATTTTTATGAAATTTTAAATTTGTTAAGTTTCATACATGTAGTAAAATAAAAACATGCATGAAGCTGATCAGCAAACTAAGAGTAGTTAATAGTCGTAGAGGAGTCTTTTTCATATCTTTTCATGAATTAAACTATTGACCGTTATTGAACATCATATTGTATTAACCCCAACTGAGCAGATGCTTAGGAAATATTTTTCTCATTAACAATAAGTTGATTTGGAATGTCTTGCATCGTCTTCAGATTTGTTGTAAAGCTGCTAATAAGAATTACCCTTTCGTGGTCTGATCGTTTGATCATTTAATCGTCTGACCATCAATGTAGGTAGACGTTCAGGCAGAGAGCTCCCTTCACTGAAGCCACAGAAGCCTCTGAAAACAACCTGATCTGGACATCTAAGGTTTTTTGTTTTTTTTGAAAAATTGAAAATCCAGCATACTATATTGTCTCTCTTATTTTTTTTGATCCCTTCAGCATTTAAAATTAATTTGAGCCGGTGAAGTTTTCAATTACCTGTCCGATGAGGAGCAGCTGCATGCACAGCCGGTCAGATAGCCGGCTAGACTGTTAGATAGCTGGTAATATACCTGCTCTACCTGCTATATTATATCAGTTTATATTCTCTATTTTACTCACCTCAATTACTCAATCTCTCCCCTAATCTTCCTCTACTCTGCGGGTGAATTATAGAGAAAGTACTGCTATACAGCTACGCATTGCACATTGCATATTACATATTGGTATATTGTTACATACTGTTACATATTGGCATATATTGTTGTAACAGTGTAACAGGGCAGCGTTTTAGCAGATCTCTAACGAGGAGGAATTTTTTATTTTTTTGCTTTGGGTTTTTTTTTTTTTTTTTTTAAAGGGGAGGGGGAAAAAAAAGGGTATTATACCCCCTCCTGGGCTTGCTACTGATGAAATCTTTACGTAAGGGATCTAAGCCGAAGTCCAGGAGCAGCACTCTACATTCTATGCACTCCATGTTTCAGCCAGCGAAATCTGCGGATGTAAATGAAGACGCTGCAAAATCCACAAAACGAGCGGCTTCAGGAGCAGCGAATAGCACTGACATGGTGAATAATTGCCAGGATACAACAAACAGCCTGGAAGGCAGGACAAATGGGGATAGCCACGAGATCCAGTCAGATCATCTAGACCAGACCCATCCAGACCTGGGAGAGGGAGGATCAGGTAAAATGTTACCTATTGATACAGCTAACATTTCTATACCTATTATGCGGACATCAGGATTAGAAGGCATACAATGTATATTGGCACAAATGAAAGAGGATAGAATTTTTTTAGCCGGAGAGATTGAGAGAAATGCTAAGGAAATAAGATTAGAGATCCAGGCAATTGGTAATCGGACTGCCGCCCTAGAAGTGAGGGTAGAGGCTGTGGCAAAAGCACATAATGATTTATTAATCCAGAGCTCGGAATGGGGCACAAGGCTTGACGCTCTAGAAGTGGCATTTGAGGATCTTATAAATCGATCCCGACGTAATAATATTAAAATTAGAGGGATACCGGAAACCAGAGATGAGGGTCCGGTACAGAATTTGGTTTTAGAAATCTTTAGACCCTTACTACCAGACATTCCTGAACCCAGATGGGAAATTGACAGGGCGCACCGTTTGTCAGGTGGTCTACGAAGGAATGATGAACGACCCTGAGATATAATCGTGAGATTTCATTACCATAGCACCAAAGACGCTGTAGTCCGCAAATGTAGGGGGATGGAGGTTATTTACAGAGAAAAGGTGCTTCAGATTTTTCAAGATCTTTCACCATCTACTCTTTTAAAGAGAAGGCAATGGAAGCCGATTGCAGATCATCTGAGACTTAATCACATTCCCTTTGCATGGGGCCATCCCTTTAAACTTCTTGCTTTTCATAATGAACAAACCAGAGCTTTATTACCAACGGGGGATCCAAGTAGATTTTTTCAGACAATGGGCCTGGATACACCAGAGGGAGTAATACCATTATTTCAACAAAAGACCCCATTACCAACTTTACCCAGAGAATGGTTTGATGCGAGAGAGAATCAAACTTAAAAGGACATAAATTTTCATTTATTTAGGTTAATCTATTATTATTTTTTTTTTGGGGGGAAGTGGGATATAATGTGATATACTGATGGTGATTGTGAAGGGGAGGATAAGGAAGTGAAGGGATTAAGTTATTGCATATTGGTATATATGGAATAATATAGTAAGGCATATATGAGAAGAAATAAGCATATTATATAGGTGTATGTATTTTATAAATGATGCGTTTGATAAAAATAAAAAATAAAATCTCAATAGTAATTCAGCAGTAAAAATGTTGTATTATAGGATAATATGGAGTTTTTTGGTTTTTGAATGGTTTTGCATAGGGTCCGAGGACAGCTCAAATGTGTTAAGGAGGCATTTAGGGAAGTGTAAGAGGACCCATGTTATGTTAAGAAAAATCAGGTTGCTAGTATTAGTTTAAAAATCTAGGTTTCAGGTTGATGGGAGTAGTTGCAGTTTATCCCAAGGCCGAAGTAGACCTGGGAAAACTGTGCCCCCTAATCAACTCCTGACATTGGGTAAGTCCAGGAGGTGTTCATTGTGTATATATGTATATATGGTTGTGTTGTTTTTTTTTGTTTTTTTTTCTTCTTCTTCTTCTCTTCCTCCCCTCATTTTCATGTTTTGGTATACAATATGCTAATATGGTTCGTTTATTTTATTGGGTCAAAACATCTGCTTGTATTGGTGTTGAATTATGATGGATGAGAAGATAATTTCCTTAAATGTAAAAGGCCTTAATTCACCTGCTAAAAGGAAGATAATGTTTAAGGAATTAAAGAGAAAGCAGGCGGACATAGTTTTTTTGCAAGAAACTCATCTTAACAGATCTCATATATTATCCTTGACAGATAAATGGTATGATAGAGCGTATTGTTCGAATGCTATTCAAAAACATAATGGAGTAGCTATTTTGTTCCATAAAAGATGTCAGTTTAAGGTCTTAAATTCCATTCAGGATAAAGAAGGAAGATATATCTTAGTGTCTGGAATAATGGGCACCCGTAAGCTTCATTTAATGAATATATATGCCCCAAATATCCCAGATAATAGATTTTGGGATACGATAGGCCAAATTATTGATTCCATAGCGTTTGATTGTGTCTTGATAGGTGGGGACTGTAACGCGGTTTCTTGTCCAGCAATAGATAGAAGTCATAAGCCAGGAACATTGCGATCCCAGGGAAGGGGAGGACAAGATAAACAGTTTTTTCAGTTTATGATAACTCATAAACTTATTGATATATGGAGGGCTCAACATCCTGACACACTTGATTATACCTTTTATTCGCATCCACATGATACGTATTCTAGAATAGATATGTTTTTGACCAATTTAACACTTTTTCCCTATTTATATAGCTCACAAATTAACAATATTACGTGGTCAGATCATGCAGATATCATTGTACATATAAAAGGATTATCAGTTAAACCCAATTTTTCTTGGCGATTAAATACTTCTCTCTTGGAAGATCCCATAGTGAGATCAGATATTACAAAGGCATTGTTAAATTATTTTTCAGAAAATAATACGACTGAAATTAGCAAAACCACTTTATGGGCAGCACATAAAACTGTAATTAGGGGAGAATTGATCAAAATAGCCTCATATAAGAAAAAGATTAAATCACAATCATTATTTGAGTTACAGAAAGGTTTACGTAAGCTGGAACAAAAACATAAAACAGTTCCCACTGAACAAACGCTATATGATTTAAAAGCATGTAGATTAAAGATTAAAATGCTTTTGTTAGATGAAGCAGTATGGCAGTTAAAAAAATCACGTAGATATTTTTATGAGAAAGCTAATAAAATAGACGCCCCTTTGGCCAGATGCTTAAAACCACGAACACATTTTAATCCTATCTCATCCATTAGAAATGCTTCAGGGTCATTAGTATCATCACCAGAGGATGTTTATGGAGTATTTCGGGAATATTTTTCTAGATTATATAGTCAATTTAAAAACGAGAATATAGAAGGTACAGATCAGGAGATAAGACTGAGAGAATTTTTGAATAAGATAAATTTACCCCAAATTCCTAAAAATGCTTTAGAAGGATTAGGGACCAAAATATCTTTAGAGGAAATTAAAGCGGCATGCTTTTCTATTAAGGGGGGTAAAGCACCAGGGCCAGATGGCTTTAGTAGTAGTTACTATAAAATATTTCAACACACTCTTATGCCATATTTACAAGAGGTCATAGATGAAATTTGTCAAAGCGGAGTTCTTCCAGCCGACCTTACAATGGCTAAAATTGTTCTTTTACCAAAAAAAGATAAGGACCCTTCTTCAGTGGGAAATTATAGGCCTATATCATTAATAAATGTTGATATAAAAATAATAGCTAAAGTCCTTGCCCTGAGATTCTCTCCCCTACTTCCTTTTCTGATTCATCCAGATCAGGTAGGTTTCGTTCCAGGTAGACAGCTGTATGAGAATACATGTAGAGCAGTTAATGTTGCTTGGGTTATGGCAGTAGGGAAGACACCTTCAATACTTTTATCATTAGATGCAGAAAAGGCATTTGATAGGGTCGCCTGGCCTTATCTATTTTATTTGCTTCAATATTGGGGCTTTCCAGTCAATTGCATTACTATAATCCGTGCATTATATTCAAATCCCCAAGCAACAATACAGCTCCCTGGCTCAGTTAATACTCCGTTTGGAATATACAATGGCACACGTCAAGGATGCCCTCTCTCTCCTATTTTGTTTGCACTTATATTGGAACCCCTTCTGATCCATATCAGGGGAAGTGGCAATATACAGGGTATTCAAATAGGGAGGGAGATTTATAAAACAGCGGCTTATGCTGATGATATTTTAATCTCTATAGCAAACCCTTCTGAATCTATCCCTGAATTGTTTAAGTTGATAGAACAATTTGGAGCCATTTCAGGCTATAAGGTAAATTATAATAAATCGTGTGGAGTGCCTTTTCATTTATCTGAGATAGAACAAGACCAGCTAAAAACTAAATTTGATATGAGTATAGATAAATCTCTAAGCTATTTGGGTGTTAAAATTGGATACGATTATAATACATTATTTAATGACAACTGTGTACCTTTGATTAAGACTTTGAAAAAGGACCTAGAGAATTGGCATGATAAACCAATTTCATGCATTGGCAGAATTCATTCTATAAAAATGAATATTTTACCGAGGCTTTTATTTCTATTTCAAGCATTGCCTATAAAGGTCTGTAAAGAGGACTTATTGGGTATTCAGAAAGCTATAGACACATTTATTTGGCAGGGCAAGCGACATAGGATAGCTAGAATTCTCTTGTATAGACCGAGAGTTAAAGGGGGACTAGGTCTCCCCAATTTAATTATTTATTATTACGCAGCCCAATTGGCTCAAATTGTTGGTTGGCATGCAAATCAAGGGAAATACAGATGGGCGGATATGGAGGAAGATTTAATGACACCAGACTCGCCAGGGTTGTATATGTGGTTGAATAAGGTTTCAAGACCAGGGTTGAAACAAATATGCCCTTCTACGGCAAACTCCCTCCACATTTGGGATAAACTTAAGTTAAAATATGGTCTAACTAATTTCCCTTCACCCATGACCCCTGTTTTTCGGAATAGACAATTTATTCCTGGTATGGAAGAACACAATTTTCAAGGCTTAAAGGCAGGAGGAATCTATAGATATGTAGATCTTTGGTCAGAAGGAGAGGTAGTTTTATTTTCTAGTTTGTTGACCAGAGTAGAACTGAGGACAGGAGATTTTTTTCGTTATTTGCAGATTAGAGATTTTGCGTATTCAATGGAGGTAAAAACGGCAGTTAAATTCCCCTTCACTAATTTTGAAAAAATGTGCAAAATAGGTAGGTTAAAGGGAGGTCTTATCTCTGATTTGTATAATCAACTAAGTGAGGAACCTACGGTTTGGGCTCCATTAAAGTATATATCCTACTGGGAGGCAGATTTAGGTTCTTCTTTGGAAACTAAGGATTGGATAGATATCTGGGAAACAGCATCCAAAATATCGATTTGTGTAATCTCGCAGGAACAAATGTTTAAGATATTATTTAGGTGGCATGTGACCCCTGTTTTTTTGTACAAAATAGGTAAAAATCTGACGGATCTTTGTTGGAGGGGATGTGGTTTACAAGGGACATATTTACACATGTGGTGGGATTGCCCAAAGATTAAAAGCTATTGGGAGGAAATAAGGGAGCTAATTCAAGTGGTAATACAGGGAAATATAGAACTCAATCCTTGGATATTTTTGCTATCGAAATCAATAGCAGGTATACCCTGCCATTCGCAGAAATTAATATTTTTAATTTTATTGGCCGCACGTAGATGTATAGCCGCTAGCTGGATAAATCTGGATTTACCATCAATGAGGGAGGTGGAATTAAAGATTCAAGAAAATTATATAATGGATGAATTATCATCTAGAGTAAGACATTCTTATTATATGTTTGGTAAGGTCTGGGAACCCTGGAAGGTTTATGCGAATAGGAAGGGTATAGGTAGATAGAGAGGCAGAGGGGGGGAGAGTGTATTAAATGTTTTTTTGTTGTTGTTTTTTTTGTTTTGTGTGTGTAAAAATGTGTATTGATGAATAACTCAAAATGGTGATATTAGAG